ATCCATGACTAAATGGTAATACATGACATGTCTAAACGCACTTGTTCACACTTGGAGAATTCGTCACAGGATGGTTAAGAAAAACAATGAATTTACATTCACAAGAGAGGAATGTTTTAGAAAATGGGTGTGTGTGCACCCTCATCATTTTAAATTTCAATATAATTCCGAGAAGCAATCCACTGTTTCTCGGCCCCTCGACGCAGCGATTCAGCCTGGTCAATGGTTTGAGCAAGTGGGCTATCCTTGGTGTTTGGAAGGAAGAAAAAGGTCAAAAGTGTGGCGATAATATTCAATGTGGCGTAGACAATACCCGGCAGATATAAGTAAATGAATTGTAGGTCGTTTATAAATGTTGATAAGCCAGAAATGGCGCATCCAAATGCCATCACAAAGAATAAACCCATATTTCTCACTGTTGTTGGAAAGAATTCGGTCATATGGAGGAGGCAAATGTTGTATTCAACGGTCACCATCAATTTTCCAAGGCTAATTATTAATGTATTTGCAAGAGAAGAAAAGGGTCGTAAAATTGGTGCGAGTAGAAGAGAGGGAATAACAAAAACAGCAGCAACTATAAAGCTGCAACGTCGATTAAAAAGGTGACATAACAACCACCCCAGAAAGCTGGAAGGTGCCTCACTGATACCCATGTATAGAACGTTGAGAAAAACGTTGTCAGAGGCAAAATCAGCATTGGTTGAGAGACCATAGTAGCCAGTACTGACAGCTGAAAGTTGTGCACAAAACACCAGAAGAATGCATCTCACATTGGTTGAGCGAAAGATGTCCACAAGGGTCTCCGACTTCTGCACCGACTTTTGTGAATTGGTTAGATTAACTGAACGCACAGCAGCAACTGCTTCGTCTAAAACTTCATCCGACAATTTCACCCGATTCCACTTAGCCAGTGTGGCCAGAGTCTTACGGTACTCCTCGTACCTGCCATTAAGGACGAGCCATCGAGGCGATTCAGGTAGTAAAAAGAAGAGAGGAATGTATCCCACAAGGCCCAGAAGACCGTAGAGTCGAAACACCTTCCATTCTCGTGTCGCATAGGCCAGTCCAGCTGTTGACACATAGCCCACACAGAATGGAATCCAGTAGCAATTTCCGTAGGCAGTTCGTTTCCTTGCTGGAAGTATCTCATAAAGCAGACCAGCTGCGTAATAAGAGAGTGGAATTGACAACATTCTCATGCCTCGACAAATAAAAACGCCCACAAGAGTAGGAGCAAAAGGTGTAACCAAACTCCAGAAAATTTCCATAGCCATGTAGAAGATGAGAACCCTCCGTCGACTGAATTGGTCTGTAAAGATGGCAAGGAAGTGACCCACAGCGACGGCAATCATTGTTGTGGCTACCAGCCAATTCGCCCATATCCTCCTATCACACACCAGATCATAATCTGTGATCACTGTAAATCGCATCATGGAGGCGTCATAAGTGAAGTTTGAGCAAGTCAATGCAGACACCTTGTTTGTCGCATCCCTGATTACCGCATAGCACTGATCAATGTCAGTGGCATTTGACAGTGGTGGGTCAACATCTCGATTAGAGACGAGGTTGGAGTAATCACGACTTGATATCCAAGTAACACTTGACACATTGGCAATTCGTGCATCTGAACAATTAAATTTTGGTGAGTAATTTATAAATACAATAGACTGAAATTCATAGGCCAGAATGAAACTGAATGATGCTGAGAAGAGGGTAAAGATTGCATAGAATAGTCCATTTCCGTACACTCTCTCTATGGCATTTTCATAGTCCATATTTACAGGCAAAATGATGGTCAGTGCGTTGCAACGACGCTCGGTGTTTACACCGCGGGTAGGTGATTTGTGGCTATTTACTCTAAGCGTTATCTGAATGGCTCGCATGTGCTTGGCACCGTGGAACTGTTCGTTTGCCTAGCGTTATTGGCTGCTTGAGGTGAGTGAGGTTGGTGCTGCTCATCATTGTCAGTCCGCTATTTTTGTCCTTCTGTGCTGACATTTCTGCTACAATTGACAATTTCGTGGCAGAGTTTTAATAGTTACTTCACTATTGGTTGACCTTTGAAGTGGTTACTTAATCGTGCTTGTGACGTGTCAGGACTTCCCAGTGGGCCTGGCCAGATGCTTGTATGTGGAGAGAAAGGCTGTGGACTATGGCTTGGCCTTAAGTCT